ATTATTGTTTCTGTCGTTAGGGAATTACCGAGATGATCTGTGGTAGTGTTATTCGTCATTAATTTTCGCAGCAGTAGTAGTAGTAGTAGTAGTAGTAGTTGTTGTTGTTGTTGTTGTTGTTGTTGTGGAAACTGTCGGCACCAGCAGTATCTACTAGCATATGAGCGCTTTTTTCATGAAGCGCGTGCCATTGTCTCTGACTTCCATGCAGAGACCTGCAATGGTGCGTGAGGCGAAGAAGAAACCAGTAGAAGAGAAAGTCAGCAAGAAAACGCAGGCGTTTCTTGATGGTAGCCCCAAGTTACCAGAAACTCTGGGCATCTCGGGTCTTTCAGGAGATTCTGGAAAAGAACCGCCAGAAGGAAATAGAGAAGACACAGGCAGATGGTGGAAGTTTTTTGTCGGGCGTATGGTCGGAGACTCTCGCAGGCGCTGGATGCGCAGCAACTTGCAGACTGGGAGAAGCCAGTGGATGCTCTGGCGGAGGAGCGCAGTATGTACTTGCTGAATTTGCTGTGGGGTGCCTTGTCCTTGTCTCCTTGAACTCGTTTCAGGCCCCGGATGTGTCGAAACTCGAGAAGGCGGCTCGAATTGCACATCGTCGTCCAACTCTTTATGACCCATGACTGAGCAGGACCTGCTAGATTTGTTGATCGGATTCAACCGAGTTGTGCCAAGGCTCCCGTGCTCACACAAAAGGGTTCGCAAGTGACAGCGGCACCTGGCAGTTTTGTCGGCTTCCCCGCGCTCGCCAATGCGTTCAAGACGCCAGAGACGCAGGTGTTGGTCATCGTCAAGGTGGGCCGAGCAGGTAGCACCGCGACTATTGCGCGAGAAGGAGCTTTGCATCCTTTGCAGGCAGTGAAGAACCTGCGGATCGTATCGGCCTCACGGGTGAAGAATTTCAGATCTTGGAGCACTCTGGGACTCTGGGGCTCTTTGTGTCTGCAGGCCTTGAAGAAGCTGCAGCTGGACAGGCTGCCCGCAGAGGCTCAGCCCAAGGCCCCATGGCAAGAAATGAAGTGCTCAGATCTGGCTGTGGGCCAACTTCAGCAAGTGCAGAGAGTTCTACGTCACAAGCTGACTCCAGTTAATATCCGATGTTGGTTGTTCATGCTGCGAAGAGAGTGTTCGGAACAAGGTGGGTGACGTGACAATGTGTAGATTGTGCTGCAAGTACCAACAAGGTGGCAAGCCTCATCGTCTACATCTACTGCCTTGTTCAGGAAGCTTGGAACTCCTATGGTATCTTGGCAGGTCGTAAGACTGACAGCAATGCACTGATTCGTTTCACGTGTTTGGCGTGCCCTAAGCCATGTTTCCTCGAGGCAAGAAAGGTCTCCTGGACGGGAAATGCAGGGCCCGCAGATCTGAGAATCGCATGAAAGGCATCTGCGGCGCGCGCTGGGGACCTGCAGCTTTTGGCTCGCGAGGGTTCGTAGGTGTTCGCGGTAAAGGCGAGCCTGCCGGCCTGAAGGCAATGAGGGCAGATGCCGGAACCCTCCTGGGCTGCCAAGGCACAGCTCCTTGGCTCCAGGAGCGGCGCAAGCTGCAAGGTATTGCAAGCTGCCATTGCCCCCCCCCCCCCCCCCCCCGCCGCCCTTCGTGATACTAGGCAGCTGGTGGCTCAAACTCGACATCGCTTGGAAGTCGAGCCTTGGCTGTGCAGCAGAGTTCGAAAAACAGCGAGCGAAGTGAGTAAAAGACTGGGTGCCTCAAGGAGGAGCAGTTTGACGAATATGCGGAGGAATTTGAAGACCACCTAGTCAACACCTTGGAGTATCACCTGCCCGAGGCCTGGAGATGACGTGAAATCGGTCGAAACCATGCCGGTGCCGGCAGGTCATCGCATCGAAAATGGCCAGCTTCGGGAGACGATTTCCTTGCTGCATGGACCTGGGTTGTGGTACTGGTCTTTGTGGCCGAGCTCTGAAGGCATCTGTGCGGATCGAGAAGTTGATCGGCGTCGACCTGTCAGCCTCTTGTCCGCGAGTCGTTACCGAGTACTGAGTGGCAGCCGCGCGGGGCTTCTGCGGGGCTTCGAGGCTGGCATGTTGGCCCATGCCCGCCAAGCGGGCGGATACGACGAGCTGCAGCAGAGGGATTTGATTTCTGTGCTTGGGAGCCAGGAGGCTGCCAGTGTGGACCTCTTGGTGGCTGCTGACGTGCTCATTTACGTTTTGCAGCTGGACAAAGTCTTCCTGCAAGCTCACAGGGTGCTGCGCAAGGATGGCATCTTCGTTTTCTCGACGGAGACAGCTTGCGAGGCTGAATCTTCCGAGGCTGCCGAGACATGATTAGGCATTAGGCTCTGTTGTCTGGGACATGTTTCAAAGGACGGCACGGCAGTAGACGCCGGAAGAGGGAAAAGCCGTAGCAGGTGCAGCTACATTCAGCATGCAGACGAAACCCTTACTTCAGAAGTTGCTGTGCAGACAGCCGTGGCTCATACTGTCCGGGGAAAGATATTGATGAACAGCTTGTCTTAAAGTTGTGCTTGCCCGGGCAGGGAACGGTCCAGAGAGTGTCCGGCCGATACGCTCATACTCGATCCTTCATCGCGGCGACTGCATCGCATCTCTTCGCGATCCTTGAAGTAGAGACCATTCCTCTTCGAATTGTCGTGGCCCTAAACTGATCGTCAAAGCTGCGTGTTTGTTCAGCGTCAGCATTGCTGTATGCCCACCTGCAGACAAGACGAGGAAGATGACCTTCCTCTGCAGGGTGATGTGTTCGTGCTGCAGCGGCTGCCGCCTGAAGTTGGCTCTGAAGACGTGGACTGTTGACGATCGTTGACGTGCTGGGACAGCTTGGAGGCTTGCACAGGCAACGAATAGATCTGCGACAGCTGCCACTGGCGATCAATCTGGCATGCGCGGCATGTGCCAAAAAAGATGAGTTCACTGTGCAAGGCTCTCTAAGATTCTCGGTGTCTTGTGGCCCGATGCTAGCATAAACGAAGGCATCAAGCTCTTCCAAGAGCTCTTGATTTCTCTGGGCTTCCGCAGCAACGCACAAGGTTGCTTGAAGGCATTCATTTCTTCCAAGCCTGTTGAGCACAATGTGTAGCATGCTCAAGGCCTCTTTCGGCAGTGGAAGGAGGCATTGCATTTGCATTTGCCATTTTGGTCTGTCGTGCATTAGTCTCCACTGCCCTGTTTTGCTGCATAGCTGTTCTTGACAGGTTCAAGCGTCACTTGGAAAGGAAGACGGTGCTACAGAAGATGGCGAGAAGGGCAAGGACGGGAAGGACTGAGGCCTCTGCTGTTGTTGGCTTTGGCCTTCCTCTTTCTGCCTCTTAATTTGTTGGCTTTTTGTGTATTTGGCCTTGTGGTGTAGTACGTAGTGTGCGCAGGGACAAGTCCGGCGATCAACGCATACGCCGTATCTAATCTACCCTTCCGGCCGGTGCCGCAAATGTCAAGTAGAGACATTGTGCATGATCTGGAGGGTGATTGCAAATGGAGGCAGCGACTATGCGACGTCCCGTCACTACGTCACCTCAAATCGCAGAATGGTCGGGTAGGCTTGTTTCTCAAGTGAACATGAAGCAATCCTTGCAACAGAGCTTCTGGCCCCACATTCCCACATTCGACCAACCGAAGGCAGAGTGTTTCAACTGATTCTTTGGTCTGCGTGGACGTCTTTTTCATTGTGTTGCTTTGCAGTCCGCCTCATCCAGGGCCACTAAAGCCGAAACCCACAAGTGAACAACCTTTAAACTTTAAACAAACGATTGCGCATGCTTCGCCCTACACGTGGGCGTAGCGTTCTACTGTGAAGAACACGTCATTTGCCCTTTTGCTGTTTGCCAGTGCAGCCTGGCAGGACAAGAAAGGCAAGGAGAAAGACGACAAAAAGGCGGCTCAGCTCTTGTCAGGCTACTGTTGCTGGCTACTGTGTCAGGATAAGAAGAAGGAAAAGGACAGGGTGTCTCTGCATTGCCGGATTCGGCACGGCCAGAACAGTGCCCCAGGAGAAAAAAGACAAAAAGGACTCCAAGGACTCCAAGGATCGTAGCTGTGCTTGTGAAGCTGCGAAAGCGAGAGCTTCAAGCTTTTGTCTGCAGCACTCCCTGTATTTCTCAACCTTTTCATAGCACCGAAGCTGATTCTGAACATGCAGGAGGATTCTTTCGATTCCTTCGAGGTCAAGAAGGAGGCAGATCAAACTGTGCGCCACTTTCCTTTGACTGCCGGGACGAGAACGACGATTCGGTCGTTGACAGGTAGAGCTTTGCTGGTCCGGTGTCGGCAGCGATGAGTATGCATTTCAGTTACCCAGCTAGGTTCTGGGGGCGGTCCGTGGTTAAGTGTTTGTGCCCGAATGCCGGAATCTTAATTCGCTTCGTCAAAGGTTGATGCACATGGGCCCGCAGATGACACGTCTCGTTGGCACAGCCAAGGCCGTTTTGGATGCGGTGCTAGGGAGCCGACAAAGCCTCTGCAATATCCTGCGTTGGAGGATCCAAAGGAGCGTGTCAACTTCAAGCCGGACAAGTGGCAGAGGGACCTGCACACGGGCCAGTAAAGGTTTATCTCGGGCGTTTCGAGCACCGGAAGTTTCCGAGCAGGACTTGCTAGACATCGTGGACGACAACGAGTCAGCCTTGGTTACTCGGGTGCAACTGGTGCCATCTGTGTGTTACGAATGGTTTCAGAGTTCTCCATGGGCGTCCTTTCGACCGCTGGACCCACCAGGTCGTTGCGCCCACGGCAAGCGGCAAGACCTTCATTGGCTACTATGTCATGGATCAGGTGCCCGAAATCATGCGATGCCAGAGGTGGGCCGCTGAAATGAGAGCCTCCAGCGCAGGTTCTCAGAGAAGATCACGACGGTGTTGCGGTCTATGTGGCTCCATCGAAGGCGCTTGTCAATCAGGCTGAAAGTGTGTGTGTGTGTGTGTGTATGCGTGAAATGCCGTGGACACTATCTGCAAAGATTCTACGAAGCACTAACCGCGGCTAACCGGAGCTTTTGGCAGGTGAGTGCGGAAATCTACGCACGCTTCGGAAGTAAGATATTCCCGGCTCACTCCAAGCAAGAACTGTGACTTGCCTCCGTCAATTATCATGTCAGCCATCTCCTGCGCATACTCGTGACTACTGACGTTTTGCTGCAAAGGCTGGGAGTTTTTCTCAAGGAATTCAACTCCGCTCGTGGCTTATAGCCGAAACCGAAAAGGGTGCTGCAAGTCTGGACTGGATTTTGTTTTAGCATTCTCAACTGGAGGCCGGAGGTGTCGCGGAGGCTGGCAAGTGGAAGCAGTGTCAGGTGCACTTCTGGTTTCCTGCTTGCAGGACCGAGATTCTGCTGACAGTAAGAGATATGCACAACCCCCATGCAGGTGCTCGTCACCATTCCACACATCCTCGAGATGCTGCTTCTGTCAGCAGAGAACCAGGACAGGCTTGCACACCAGGGCAAGCTTAGCAAACCTGGGTGGTGGTCAGGACTGGGTGGCTCGACTGCGGTACGTAGTCTTCGATGAGGTGACGAAGATGCACCACTAGATATTTCAGCAGCAGCATGTCAGAAGGATTCTTGGCAGGTGCACTGCATCGGGGAGCAAGAAGGTGGAGAGCAGTGGGAGCATTGCATGCAGGTGCACGATGCACAGACTGGGGCAATAAGCATTACGAATGTTCACTGGTGAGCCGTGAATGCCCTGCAGTTGATTCCATGCCCCTTCATCGCCCTCAGCGCAACGGTGTCCGATCCGAGCTTCTTTCACAATTGGCTGAGCCCGTCCCTTAACCTGCTGCAAATGAATGTCTATCCGATTAAACGATGGCGGCAGATAGCAGATGTGGCATACAGCTGTCTTGCGTCCTTTTCCGAATTGAGGCAGGGTAAATGAGCTGAAGAAGACCTCCAAGGAGACCCTTTCGGCGCTTCAGGGAGAACATGCATCGCGTTGTGCGGTTTGCATGTCGGGTTCTCTTGAGCAGACCTCAAGGTGTGGCTTTTCACCTGCACCGCGCAACCTGCAGTAGCGACTGCGAGACTGTCAGAACGCACCCCCCAGCACACCTCCCTCTCTCCCTCTCCCTCTCTCTCCCTCTCCCTCTCTGTCTGTCTCTCTGTCTCTCTGTCTCTCTGCCTCTCTGTCTCTCCGTCTCTCTGTCTCTCTGTCTCCCTGTCTCCCTGTCTCTCTGTCTCTCTGTCTCTCTCTCTCTCTCTCTCTCTCGTTTGACTACAAACTTCTCGGTGCGAGGTAAGCATTGTGGAGCATCGTGAGCGATGGAATGAAGCACGGCAGCATCGATGAGCAACATGTGAGAGATACTCCCTGCTGTCGACTTCCAGCCGAGGATCTTTACAAATATGTTTGGGTCGGAGGAAAGCTGAGGCCAGGCCGAAGACTCTTCCAACAGCCGAGAGCGCGGCCTGAGAGATCCTCGCCTCGAGGCCGCTGCACCCTTTCTGCTGCTTCGTGGAGAGCTCGCTGCGCCGAAACGGAATGTCCTCCGACCTCAGCCTCGTACCAAGGGCTCGGCTCTCGGCTCTAAGTCGCTCACGCTCTCCTTTCACTTACACCGCTTTACTCCGTTCTCCGAGAGGAGATGGTGCAACTACACCAAGAGGCCGGTTGCTGTAGGCTATCGCCGTGGCAGACCTTCGGCGATGTGTACAAAGGCTTCTGGCTGAGTGCCGGAGGATTTGCAAAGCCGAGGTCCAAAGAATCATCGGCGTGAACGACAAGTGGGACAGGCCTGCGCAGAACGAACTCCAGTAGAGCAGCAAGTCTTTTGGTTTGCAGGCTGTCTCCTGCAAAATACTTTGCGGGTCAAGCGCAGCATTCTCAGAAAGTGCGAGCTGTACGAAGTTGCAATGCTGCTTTTCTGCTGAGGTTTGTTACGAAAATCGATGCGAGAGGGTATGAGAGGGAGTTGAAGGACGGTCACATGACATGCAAGCTGGTGCAACACAGAACGTTCGGTTCGCACGAATGTGAGAAGTCGCAGGAAACGTTCTTGCAGCTGCTTCGCGATGATGTCGGCCTGGCATGTTTTCTGCACAGTTTGATGGTATTGCCGCTCTTCTGTTACAGACATCTTTCAAGCAGATACGACAGAGACGCAGACAATTCTAAAGCAGCAGTTTGCATGCTGAGCCCGTGGGCAATGATGTGGCCTCAAACCGTATGTTCCAGAGTGAATGCTGTGTTTACCGGAGTTCTCGACCAACATGCGCCCAGAAACAGTCAGACATCTCAGCATCGGCACAGTTAGCAGCAAAGTGGTTTTGGCATGTGGCAGGTACTCGGGAACGAGGTGGGGCTGGTGCAAACTCGAAGCATTCCAATTCGCTTCCGCGGTCATGCAGGGCTTCTCAAAGCTCACCATGGCCCTGCAGCAGCCCACAGGGCTCGAAAGTTGGAGAGCCCAGAACATGCCTTGCTCCTCGCCTGAGTTAAACGGTAGTGTGGGCAAGGCTTCAAGCCACCACCTCGGACTGAGAGCGACAGCGAGGCGAGCGGGCACCAGTTGTTTCGCTGGATGGGTTGCATTCACCACCAGGGCTGCTGCGCTGCCGCATTCGGCTAGCCAGCAGTCTCACTGGGAAGGTTGACCTCACGAAGTTGGTGAAGGAAACTTCTTACCTGCAGGCATTGTTTTTTGATCCAACGTGTTCCAACACAGCTTTTGCTGCTCTGGAAGGCGGCGACTCTCTTCAAGCTTTGCAAGGATCTTGACCAAAAAGATATCATGCCAGCGATCATCTTCAATTTCTCCAGGCCTCTTGGTGTTGGAACATCGACGGGATGCATGCGAGGGCCAATTGGAGCCCGCTTCATCTGGAAAGCCAGGAAAGAGATCGAACGAATGCTCAAGAAGCTCGTTGAGGAGCTGGAGAGACTCCAATACAACAAGTGCGCTAGTTTACGCCCATACACTACTGCTGTGAAGCCAATGTTGTTGAGGTACTGGGGTGATGAGGAGGCGAAGATCAGAACCAGAAAGATCAATGACAAGTCGGGGCCGAAGCTAATCAAGCTGGCTTCAGCCAGTGCCGTGTGTTCGAATCGAGCCCGGGTTCCTTGCACCATGTCGCTACATGGCCACCTGTTTAGCGTGGAACTGTGCCAAGAGCATCGAACTAGGTCAAATTCATTAGCCATGGGTAGACCTGTCAGAAACCACGGTGGCCACAGGAATGGAGAAACAAGGTTCAGCAAAACCCGGTGTAATGAGTTGCATCATGCCCAAGTTGAGATATTCAGACGTATTCAGGAACCAGACCTCAGCAAGTAAAGTGCGAACGAGGCGAAAAGCAGACTATGACCGGAAGAAAGAGGCATTCGATGAGGCCTTGTGACGAGACACCTGACCTGACGGAGTGCAGCAGACAGCATGCCAGGCCCAGAAGATGCGAGCTAGCGCGAAGCAAGAAGGAACTGCTGCTCGAAAGTCTGGCGAGATAGAAGGTTCGACACCAGCCAATTGCTCCTGGCTCGCGAGCAAAGTCAGTGAAGCAGGCCGTGGAGGAAGAAAAGCTGAAGCTGTGGACATATCAGAGGACGAAGGGGTTTGCTGGCCCGGATGCTAAAGTGCCCATCACTGTTTACAAGCTTGTGCACCTGCTCACTGAGACAACCGCAGGACCTCATGCTGCAAGAACCAATAGAGCCGAAGGACTCCTCTAGCGATTGTGTGTGGAGTCTTGCTGCTGATCCCAAGCATCTTTGTGCATAGCATGATGCAATACAGCCCACGCTTGTCAATCGAGGACATCTCTGAAGAAATCGATCCAGAGGCGGCCTGCTTGTAGAGATAACAAGCTCGACCAGCCGGCTTGCAGCTGACCCGTGCTTGCCCGCCTGCAGTTCACTTTTCACTCGGCACGAGCCCTCGGCGTTTGGCAGGAGGATTGCGCAAGCTGCAAGCTATTGGGTTTCTAAGTGTTGAACGATGCAGGGAGTGAGCATCAAATTCAACAGAGCCTGCAACGCAGGATATCGACGAAGTAATCAACGACGCCAAGAAGAAGGGCGGTGCTGAGAATTGGATGGTGGAGGGTCTCAGGACCTCAGTGCCCGTGATAGAGTTTGAACTGTAGAGGATAGAGGTTAGGGGTTGGGAGGTTTGGGGCTTAGTGTAGGATGGACGGACGAATGGATGAATGGCTGGCTGGCCGGCTGGCCGGCTAGCTTGTACGGATTGATGCATGAGTAGATGCATGGATGAGTGGATGGATGAGATGAGATGAGATGAGATGCGAGAGGTGAGGTTCGGTGTTACATCGCTGCTCTACATGCCTTCGAGGCTCTCGTTCTCTAGTTTAGCTCTTGGAGTTTCTGGTAGTTTGCCACTCCCGAGTTTTTGTTGTTGTTTTCTGTTGGGAGCCTTCCCGTGCCTTGAACAGGAGAGGAATCGGGATCCATCACGAGGGCCTGAAGTCTGGGACTTTTGCATGGAAAGCGTCAAGAGAGACCCTGCCCAACTGCTAAGGAAAAACTACAGAGATGCTGTGGAGGTTCTTTTCCGTCGTGGGCTCCATCCTCAGTGCTGACACGTGCACAGCGTGCACGTATCCTTTTTCATTCGCCATGCCCGGATTGTGGCAGGTACTTGCGGGTTGTGTTTGCCACCGGCACTTTGGCGCTCGGCATCAACATGCCGTTCCCCGGGCCAGTTTGAACGGTTAGGGTTACGCCAGAAAGCAAATTACGGCAGGTGCCGATCGACGATCTTCTGTGGAGACTCGCTGGACTGGCTTGCGAATTGCTGGTGCAAGCCTGTTGGGTCGGAGTTGCCGGCGGGGTCTACTCATCGTGGGTTTTGGAAGGTTTGGAGTGGTGCGTAAGATTGACTTGTCCGGTTCAGCATCAGCATCTCTTTGGCTCAGACATGTTCTATTGCCAAGCATGCTTGAATTGCGCCTTATATTAGGGTGAGGCGTGAGTGTATGTGGTTTGATCATGGGGGAGGAGCAAAAAGTCCTACTTCACGCTCGTCGACAGTAGGATGCGCCTCTACTCAAATGTGGTTCGGCGCCATGTGCGTGCATTCAGCCAGACGCATGCGATCCCGTCGCATATGCGTGCCGTGGTCTGGAGGGGCAATCCGGACCCTGGGAAAATGAGACTGGAAAGCTTGGGAACTCCTTCGCCGAAGGACGGAGAGGTGTTGGTGAAGGTTCGTGCCTGTGGGGTCTGCCACACAGACCTCCACTGTATCAAAGGGGAGGTGCCCTTCCCTGCTCCGGCGGTTTTTGGACACGAGATCAGTGGAACAATCCTTCAACACGGCAGTGGCGTTGACAAGACCAGACTGCCCCTTAGCGGTCAAGTCGCATGTACGTTCATCATGCCCTGCGGCTCCTGCTATCACTGCAAGCGTGGGGAGGAGGATACCTGTGCGCCATTCTTTGCCCTGAACAGGCTCAAGGGCCAGCTCTTTGATGGAAGCACCCGCCTGTACCAAGAAGGCAGTCCTGTGGCCATGTATTCTTTTGCAGGTTTGGCTGAATATGCCGTCGTTCCACAGACTGCCGCATTCTTGCTTCCCCCGATCTTGGCAGAGGAAGCATTTTCCGAATCTGCTTTGCTGGGCTGCGCTTTTTTTACGGCCCTCGGTGCAATCCGCAATGCCGCCGAGCTACGCAGTGGCCAGTCAACTGTCATCGTTGGTGCCGGTGGTGTTGGGCAGGGCATCGTGCAGCTGGCGAAGCATCTCGGCGCGTCACCTGTGATAGCGGCACTTCAGCAGCATTAAGACTGACAGCCTCCTGCGGTACAGAAATTGTCGATGACGCATGTCTCCGGGTTTGCCACCAGGCACACATGTGGTAACAGTATGCAACACGTACAACATATCCACGACATCGATGAACCTTTCAAGCCTGCCGCAGCTCCGTGGCAAGCGAAGTCGATGTCTCGGATCGTTTATGCTGCTTTGTCCATATTACCTTCAATTTCTCCTAGTACCTGTTGTTGCTTCCATCTTTTCGAATTCCCACTTCGTGACCTGCAGAGGGCAGATGTCTACCTGTTCCTGCCTGGAGATGAAGGAGTGAGGAAAGTCTTGGGATGACGTAGGGCCAAGTCTTGAACGGGGACCTCGAACACGCTGCTGCAAGAGCCTTAGCTTCACTTCCCTCGAGTTGTATAACCAAGGTCGACATCAGCGAAGAGGCGCTTAGCCTGGCAAGAAGCTTGGGTGCAGATCACTGCATCAATGCACGCCAGGACCCCTCTTCTGTGTGCACGGACAGTACCATTGTTTCATTGCTTGTGCAGCACGCGAACAGCTCTCACGAAAGCGTCACTTCAACCTCTCCTGTCGACTGTACTTTGCGCCCTGTGCACTCCGCTGTTCTGGGCGTCTTCGTTGATCTTGTATCGGTCTGCTGCTACATCCGCGGGACAGGATATCAATCGGCAAGTTAAATTACCATCAAATGTTGAGTCACCATCAACACGAAGTTGGATCTTCCCGGCATTCTGTCCTCAACTCGGCTCTGGTTGTCGTGCTTGTGTTCTTGTCTTATTGACTTCCCGGTCGTCTGGCCTCTCAACTCCATAATGTGATGCGCGTGTGCCGTGGTACGTGGGCCTCGGGGATGCAGATACCTTGCCGCACAGACAACGGAAGCCACACAGGTGGAGCAACACGAAAACCAAAATGCGCACATCAACATCAAAAACAGCAGCAGCAACAGCAACGGCAGCCGCAGCCGCAAGCGCAGCATCAAGAACACGAAGACTAAGAACAGTAGCAGCTACAACAGCAGAAGCAACAACAACAGGAGCAACAGCAGCAACAGCAGCAAGAGCAGCAGCAATCAGCGGCAATAGGAGCAGCAGCAGAGGCAGCAGCAGCAGCAACTACTACTACTACTACTACTACTACTACTACTACTGCTACTGCTACTATCACTACTACCACTACCACTAGTACTTACTACCAATTTTATTGCTCATTTCTGCAATTCACGGAACTGAGATTTTGACATGATTCATGTTTACCTGGCTCAGCTGGTAAATTTTGGTGGGCGATTTGGATGTAGCCATCTCGCTGGTCTGTGCAATAAAGGTTCTCCGTTGACTTGATTTGCTTGGGCAAGACTTGCTAGATGTTCAAAAAGTTCCTTGCATTCACCTACATTGTATGCACCAGCAAGTTTCTGGCATGCTGAAGGAGAATGTCATTGAACGAATTGGTGAGCTCACTGATGGACACAGAGCCGATGTGTGCATTGAAGTGATTGGATCGAAGGCCACCTTCGAGCAGGCTCGTGCAGATACAACTGTGCATGTCCAGTGCTTGTTCACCTGGCAATGTTGCAACAGGCCATCATGGCGGTGCGCGACGGTGGCCGCGCCTGTTACGTGGGCATTGCGTCGCCGAAAGCTCGAGCTGAAGTCCCAATCACGCATATGGTCCGGCGTCGGATCAGCTTGGTGGGCTCATATGGTGCATCCCCTAGCTTAGAGCCAAGCTTGAAGCATTTCTGCATGTCTTCCGTGACCGAAAGCTTTTCAAGGTGCCCGAGCTTCTAAAGACATGCCCGAGCTCCTGGAAATTGCAGCGAAAGGTGGCGTGAATTTGAAGTCCGCGGTCACCCGGCGCTTCTCACTGGACCAGGCCACATGCAGCGTTCTAAGCCTTGCCGTTGTTTCATCGAAGTCTCGAGCCAGGCATCTGAGGCTTACAAGCTTCTCAACGATGGCAAGATCGCTGGACGAGCGCTCATCGAAGTCAGCTGACGAAGTTCTAGCCAGTTTGGCAAACGAAAATGTCCGTGCAGTGCGCTGCGTCTGCGTCGTAGAATCATCGCACTTCCTTGATGGTGTGAAGAGATCCACCACTGTAGTGCTTGGCATGTTGAGGGGAGCCCGTTGCTCGATCGCGTTTGGACCGGTGCCGAGCAGGAGCTAACTGGACTGATGTACCGGCAGATGAGTGGTCGAGCAGGGAGGCAGGGCATGGGACAAGAGCCTGCAAGGGCACAGCGGCACAGCGCATCTTGCCGAAATCCAGGCGAGGCTTCGACCTGCTCGGGCAAGTGATCTTCCTGGACAAGCCGTTCACGAAGGCCATCAGTAGCTGCTGCGTCGCTCTTGCCGGCTGTTGCCGCTGCGTGCATTCGTTTTGGACCAAGATCCAACGACTCATCACGTCAGATCTGTCGAGCCTAGCTGCAGCCTTGGGATCAGCAGTCTCTCGGAAGAAGTCGGAGTTCAATTCACCAAAGCTTTGTTCATGGATCCAGGCCGGTGAATTCACACTTTCTCCAACAATACTTCTGAGGGCCGGACGCCGAGCAGTGACGAGAGCCAACGTCCATGTCCCCACCGTTCTGTGGGCCACAGGCATTGCACGAGTACGAGAGAATGCTGGAGCTCAAGGAGGAGCTCAGCCAAGAGAGAAATCAGTTTCTGTGAGAGTGGGTTACAGTGGGTTGTGGAGTTGCAGCGTCAGGAAGGCACCTTGGGCAGAACTCTTGAAGACATCACTCGGTGTCTGGCACCTGTGCACTCGTCTCGGTATTTTTCTGGTGAAAGAGGAGGCGTGAAAGCGTTCGGTCGGGCAAGCTTCGGCTGCAGGTTCGAATTGCCGTTCTTTCAAAGCAAGACCGCAGAGCTGAAGACCCAAGCGTCTCGGCGATAAGTCCATGTTGTCCGCTTGCAGTGCTCTTCGTGACAGAAACAGGTAGCCTTTCACACGCGGTTCACCTTAGAGCTTCTGTACAGAGTTGGCAACCCAGCTTTGATCGCGTCTGCTCCTGATGCTTGTGAAGTCTGCACAATCGCCGCAAGGAAGGGCACATTGCGCGGGACGGCTCAACAAGGCAGAAGGGGAGTCCCATGTCTGGGACCGTCATGTGACTTTGCTCTGATTGGTGAGGAACTTGGCGAATCTGTGTACACATCTCTTCGAGGCAGCAAGAAAGCTATGAAAGCTGACGCTGTGCCAAGTGCCTGGAACAGGCTGAGCCGGCCAACCTGGTGCTTTCCAGGACGGCCTGAGATGAATCGAGACTAGATGCACGATGCGGTTTCATGTCTTGGAAGGGCGGTGCTAACTCAGGGTCTTAAAGTGTGGTGCCAAACTCCCAAACAACACTAGACAGATGTTTTCCCAACCAGTCGGGTTGCCCAAGCTGAAGATACAGCTGCCCATGGCTACCTAAGAGCTATCAAAACACTCGCTCGCATCCATGTCGTTACAGACAAAACGGCGAGCGAAGAAGGTCTTAGGAAATGAGTCTGACGGGAAGGAAACAGGCTATGTGCTTCTCTGGGTGCCACCGGGCATGTCCGCACGGCACAGTCGTAGGCTCCTCTGCAGTGGAGTTCTGCACGAGTATCTGGCCGAGGAGGCGAGAGCTGTGATTGCGCCACTGTGACGCGGCGAAGAAATCTGAAGTATCTCAGGCTCCCAAGATGCTCAAGGGCGACCGACGGACACACCTCACCGTGAAGCTCGTCTCTGTGTCGGAGCCCAAGTGCTCTGCAGAAGGTGCATGGGGCGCAACTCTACGCGAGCAGGTTGGGCTGGATCTTTTTTCGACGGAGGCTCCGGCTCCAAAGAGTTTGTGGCAAGCACCAAGCGGTTGAGATTGTCTTCGGATGTCCAGAGGCTGCCGTCCAGCATTCCGAAGGAGCGGATTCCAAGAAAGAAGCACCTGCCTTCGGAGGCAGTAGCCCTTTCAGAATTCCAAACTGCTTGCATCACTGCTCTTCTTTCAACAGTTGCCAGGGATGTCCACGCCTTCCTCCACTGCCGTCAAGGATAAAGAAGGACGGAAAGCTCTGCAGAGCTCTGCGCTTTCTGCATTTCCCGCTTCGAAAACATGCAGGAGATTCAGAGATACAACAGCCAGCTCTTTGAAGTCTTCCAGGATTTTGCCTGGACAGTGGCGATGACCAGGAAGAACAGAGTGGAAAACACGGTCTCCATACTTCGCTAATCCGACAACGAGTCAGAAGCGAAGGAAGCACGGGCAGATTGACCTGACACTTCCTGCAAGCGGAAGGCTGCGGGTCCACAGCGCGCTGTGAAACTGTGGCTTTACCAGTTGGCACGTGAGAGGTGTTTTCCCGTGGGCCTGGACGAAAGGGGGGATCCCTTTGCACAAGCCTCAGAGGTTGCCGAGGTTACTGTTGCACGCCGATCTTTAAGACAGCTATCGTCCTAAGGACAAGAAGAGCGGCCTAGGAAATGCCCTTTTCAAGCAGGTTGTCAAGCCTCGTCCCGAGCTTTCCCAGCACTAGGTCTGGTCGCGGCATGTGCTCTTTCGCCAAGGTACAAGTCACGTTCACCCTTCTCGGCTTTATCTGGTGCTGGTGACTTCTACCTGACACCCTCGGACCTGTCCAAGAATTGCAGGCCCTGTGTTAAGACGGATCATGTGAAGTGCTGCTGATACACGGAACTAAAGGAACGTCCTGCACTTGGACTTGAACGCCATCCCAACAGTGGCCTGCCCGCCGACGGGCGCGGATGCCAATCGGGAGCTAGAGGCAATCGGACTTCTCAGAAGATCACAGGTATAAGGCAAGGGAAGCGATTTGCCGCTGGTGGCATTGCATATTTCAGGCAACGAACAGCTGGATCCTGGACTACATGATCCATGGGCAGAGGAAATATCTTTGGGAGGAGATTCTGCAACTTCCCCACGAAGAGTCTCTAAAGTTTCCGTTTCAAAGTTATCGCAAGCCTGTGCTAGCACAGGACAACGGCCTCAATGCCACACGCGCATGGAAGCTGATTGATGAGTTCGTGCAAACTTTGAAGAAGGCATCAGACCTGTAACAGATTTGGATTCTTGCCTGTTGCTCGGACCGTCGGGTTGGGTGCATTGCTGAAAGCTCAGATGATCTGCAGGCAGTGAAAGCAATGAAGGCCGGACCTGCATTTGCCCGCTTCGTGTCGGAGCTCTAGGACTCCTGTCAAAGGCTTTTGCGCCTGAAAAAGACATTGTGCTGACCACCATGACTCAGCTTGCCAAGGACTTTGTCCTGAACGCAGCACTCTACTTTACTTCTTCCATGGGCGCAGGAAATGGAAGCCTTCCACAAGAAGGCATAAACCCGACCTCGAGCCGAGCTCAGTTGAGCGAACGATCTCGGAACTGTTAAACTGTTGGGGCTGAGGTGCTCGGTGGAGTGGAGCTGAACACATCCTGAGGGGAACAGCTCTAGTGGATTCACACAGCGTGCCAAGCGCATGCATTTGGCAGCCTAGCGCTGATATGTTTAGATTTCCTGCCCCTACTTTTCCGGAACAGAGACTGGGCGGGAGTACATATCTTCTGCCATGCCACCTAGCCCCTGGCGGACGGCCCGGCACTGAAGCCAGGATAGCTGAAACTTGGGGCAAGACTCCTGCTGGAGCCTGCAGGAGCTGTCAGACCCCCGAGGTGTGGCATTTAACTCTTTGGACAAAGTGGCCGAGCATCAATCCAGCAGTCTTGCTGACAACTAGAGCTTCAAAGACGTTCTTGCATGTTCATAGCGAAAGAGACTGTCAGATGCTTGAGCCTGGTCCGTTGCTTTCCGCTTCAGGAAAAGACGGCTCAGGCCTGAAGGCTCCAACAGCTTTCAGCGCCAATGCTCCCGGCATCCGCCAGCTGAAAGGCTTTGTCGATATCTCGAGCCGGCGGATTGCTTCTGCTCAAGCAACTTGAACATAGAAAAATAGTAAACCAGATCTGATTGTTCCAACCAGTCAGGAAGAGCCTTAGACAGCCCGTTTAGGTTTAGGATGAGAACTGGTGGCAGCGCCATAGTCATAGGCCACATCTGGCCAAATGATCCAAGAGGGCAATGTCCGGCAAAGGCGCAAGAAAAGGCACAGCCCGAACTTCAGTGAGGGCGAGCTGTCATCAGTCAGCACTACTGTCAGGGTCAGCCGCACTTGCGGCAGCGCGCGCGGCGGCTGGCGTTGCCAAGGCTTGCTTCCTGAAAGGATAGTGCAAAGGTGGGCTCATCCCGGCCCTCTGAACGTGGCTTGCATGCGTACCATGTCACAGGCGGCGATTGCCAGAGGTGGAGACTCTGCTCGGTCGGACTGCCTCATCGAAATCGCAGATGCCGAACAGGCGGCGCGTAGCATTGCGACGAATTGAAACGATGACGTGGTATGTTATGTGGCGCTGTTTTGTTGTACATCTGAGATGGCAGAAAACATGTTGCCGAAGCCAACGAAGGTGCTGCCTGGGGCAAACGACTGCGCCTGGGCTTCCAAAGTGAAGGTCGCTATCCAACCAGCCATTCTCTCAGACCATCTCAGACCGACACATCGTCGACAAACATCCTGCTCAGATCATGCGACGATTCGGGCCGGTGCTAGATGTCCGTGGTGGTCTTGGCATGAAATGCAGCGAAAGGAGAACTGCATAACTTCCAGCAGCGCCAAACCGTGAAGGTGTTCCAACAGGTGAAAACAGACCTATCGCCGCTTGGCTGGCGATTCTTCTTTCTCACGTGATAGATGGGTGTCGTCCTGGCTCAAGGTCAGCATACGATTCGCAAATCCCAAAGCGGCGGAGGTGACGACCACGTTTTGCAGCTGTGTCGTATAGGCAGGGGGGTGATATGTCTTCAAGACTTTTGCAGGCTGTCATGGTTGCCGCGTCGCAGGCACTTTGTGCACAAGAAAGTGGCTTTCATGATTCGATGCGAAAGTTACATGCATTTCTCCCGCCATGAGTCAGTCTTGCACAGCTTTGGTTGCGACAGGGTTTCTTGGCCGTGGGAGAGTCCGAAGTCCGGGTGTGCCAGCCTTTGTCGCAAGAGGCCTCGTTTTAAGACTGAGTCCGTTTCATCAGAATTCGTGTTTGTTGCGAAAGGCAGTCTGGCGCAGCTTCCCACCAGCTCGACAGCGACCAAATCCTACAGGTCCCCAGCAGGTGTTGCTGCGCAAAAACAAGGGCGCGGCCGTCGGCTCCAGGCGAGTCCAAGAAGAAAAAGCTTCGTCCAAACGAGCGCTTCGAGCGGGACTCGACTGACCAGCGCGGGTTTGGATGCAGAGGGTCAGGAAGAGGAAAAGTACAGTGTGCAGCTGAATGCAGCTTAGCTCTGGTTCTTTTAAATTTTAAAGCTTGGATCTGCCGGTGTGTAGCTGACTGCCGGACAACGCGAAACTGCCTAACGGAAGTTCGCTTACTTAGTCCCAAGTCACGATTGGCTTTGTTGTCTTGACCACGACCTCATCGTAAGTGGACCGTCATTGGCCGCCGTTCTGCTTCTTCCGTGAACAGCTACTGTGACTGAAAACCGAAGCATGACTACGAGGCTCCACCGCGCCTGCCTCGGGTTGAAGTCGACGAAGCCGATGAAGCAACAAAAAAGGAGCCTCCAAAGGTTGAGGCTGCCGAGGAGAGGTGACCTGCTGTTCACTTTTCGCGAATTTGCCGACCGGCTTGTGCACTTCCAGTGCAGGACCCACAGCCTCCCCCGATCCAACCTCCTGTGCAATTACCACCAGAACCGCCCAGGCAGCAGATGCGAATTGAGACAGTTTTGTCTGACACTTTCGCTTTCCGCAGGCCCAGTCCGTCCACACCCAGCCAAAAACTTAGTCTGGGCGAGGGTCACCTCATCCGGACCCTCCAAAGAAATTCACCAGGTGCCGATGCTTCGCAGGAGGACAGAGAAGTTGCAGCTGGTGAGGCGGAGGCACGAAATCGAGCAGACAACCACAACGTCTGCCACTGCGCTTCTGGCGTTCTGTTGAGACATGTTGCTCAGGTAGCCAAGGCCATGGCAGCGCTCTTGGAGCAGCCATTCTCCAAACAAAAGAAGGCGGTTCTGGCGCTTCTGCCGATTCTGCTTCTTTTCGCAGCCACACCGCTTGTCCAGGTACTCAAGTCCATTCGGCTGCAGTGGCATCCGGACAAGAGTTCTTGGCATGTTACGTCTGACTCTTTTGCATAACACAAACTATAGACTACAGCTTAGACAGCGCAAGCGATGCATCTTTGATTGTGACAGTCTGCTGACCATTCGCCAGGAACCCTGACCAGTCCTCCATCGCCACACGAGTTTTTCAATTTGTGCAGGTCCGCTAGAGCAAAATGCCCGTGTCGCTTCCCAACCTGAGTGCTATGGTGTCAGGCGCATGACCACTGGCTGGCTCATCACGGACTGAGTTGATGGCATTGCAAATCGAAAATGCGGTTGTGTTCGGCTGCTGGTTTAATGACCTGCTCTGACTGCTCGTGACCTTTTGAACGTGAGCAGGTCGCATCCAGTTGGCCTCATGAAGCAGCCATTCTTGGTCAAGTCCAACAAGATATTTGCTGTACAGACGCTCGGGAGCTCGATGCAACAATAAGAAATCATGCATGAGCAGCCATGAGGACAATCAGCCCCACTTGTGACGCAGCCTGGCTGTTTAATAACTTGGCAGACCGCTGCCTCATTGCCCGTCATGTCGACTACGGAGGCGTGGCATAGCCGTATGTGGCAGCACATGGTCGCCGAGTTGCTAACCATCAATCATGAAAGCAAGTCAGGCAACTGCCGTGGTGCATCAGAATATCAAGGAGTAGCTGAGACGTGATTACATCTCCTGCACGGCCCTTTCCCTCGGGCCCTTTGTGGGAAAGATTGCCAGGGTTGTGCAAGCAGAATACTTCCCGACAAGAAATCGGCTTATGGCAGGACAGGCGGTGCTACATAGTGGTTTTCACTGCAGAAAACTGCTTGACGGGCGTCTGGAAGCTTTGAGGAACATCGGCTTCGCGATTTTAGTTGCGGCGCCTGGTGAACAGCCTCTATCCACAACCGCCTGTTAAAGCCAGCATAGTGAGTTTGTAATGAGGTCTAAAGTGCCCACGCATCCGCGTCGAAATCCCTGTTTAAGGCTGCCGCCCTGCAGCACACTGTGCTGCGATGTCGCTAAAGCGGAGCAACATCCTCGTTCAGCCTGTGCAAGCTTGATGCCATGGCCAATGGCTGATGCTCTTCAAGAGTCACCATCTCTCCGGCAAACAACTTCACCTGTCGTTATCATCGTCGTCATCCTTGTCATCCTCTTGACCCCCATGATTAGCAGTATTACCATCGCCAGTATTTTCGTTATCATCCTCACCTCGTCAACTTGCTGCCTATCATGATCAGGACCATCATGGTCACCACGTGTCATCACCACCTTCGCCGTCACCAGTGTCATCGTCACTAGGATCGTCGACATCGTCGTCACCATCAACACCCCCGTTATGATTCTCGCCTCCTCACAAGAAGTCCCTCTCCAGGAAGGTTCGAACAACTGGAAGGAGCGGAAGACAGAATTAGTTGGCAGTGGCAAACCCTCTTTGCGCCTTGGTCTAGGCGACTCCTTAGGCCACTAGCTTCTGGCAACAAAGACGTGCTGGGTCGGTAGTTGTGGGAGCTGAGGGATTTTCCTTGCTTCCCGACGAGAGGCGAATGCCAATGCACCTGCAGAAGCCGACAGCCCGCCGATTGTTCTCGAGATTCTTGGCGGCAAAACAGCTGCACGATATCATCCTCCAGGCAGTATGGTGGAGCTCGCTGAATTGTAAAAGCGAGGCTGAAAAGGCTAGATGACGAGATGCTGGCAGTTCAGAAGGCCCAAAATGAAGTGCACATTGCAACATCAGATCCATGTCAGGCAGGAAAGACAGATCTCCCGTCATTTGTCTTGAGGAGTACGAGAAGGAAGTGCAAAAGCTTAAGCGGCAGTTCCAGGCACAGCAGGCACCGTTCATCGAAGCCCGGGACAAGGTGCAGGGTCTTAGTTGATATCTAGAATCTAAACTGTGTTGTCTTGAGCTTCCGAAGCCCCAGAAACACTTGCAAAAGCATTGAGCTTTGGGATCTCACAGCCGTCCCCGTCCACCCGCCTAGGTGCTTTCCGAGAAGGAGGGAAGCGAGGACCCAGTCACTGGAACGTCCGAGACTTGCAGCCTTTCAGTGAAGATCAGAAAACTCCCATGCCTTGCATCCATCGCCCAGGCCAGCACTGAAAGGATTCTGGGTCCAGGCGCATGGCCTTTTGAACTCACGAGTGCCTGGGCTTAGTTGTGTGTTTTCTGCAAATTTGTTGCCAGGCCCTGCTGAATCATCCGGCGCGACTTGGTGCAAAAGAATGCACCAGAGATGTACACACGACGGCTTGCGAACAAGTCAGATGGAGCGCTTCCAGGTTCGAAGACGAGGTCGAGTCTTACGACATACCTGTGCTTGAGTTCCTCAGGCGACTGCTGCCCATCGATGCAGTGTTTTACCGAAGCATAGGGCGGTCGTATGACTCCCTGCCTGACTCGTTTATTGTCAGGACGATCGAAGCGGAGGATCTGGACAAGGAGGATGCAGAAAAGGGTTTCCGGTTGCGGCCCGAGATGTTCGGACCACTCCGTTGCGGCCAAGTCAGTTTCGTGCGGCCGGCGTGACCTTGACCTTCAGTTAGGCTGATTTTCCATTTCGCCGAGAATCCGTACTTCACAGACAGCCCCTTGACTGGTCAAGCTGAGGAGACGTCCAAAATTGTTGCCTGTCTGAGAGGTTCACTATCGCAAGAGCCGCTCAGCTGTTAAGGACCACAGTGTTTCGGAGCGCAGGTTTCCACAATTGCAACATAGCGCACTGCCACTCGTGTGAGAAGCCAATCCTGTGCCTTTCTTCCAGGTACCACATGCACGAGCCAAATCGCTACAACGGAGAGGTCAAGGTCAAGCAGCTGAAAGGCTCTAGCCCAAACTGGAAGGCACGTGCCGCGCAACTGGTTGTCATTTACTTGTTTTTGCATTCATTTACTTGTGCTTGTTTTTTGCATGAAATAAAATGAAATACTGATCTATATATCTCATATACATTGCACGGTATCTCCGGCATCATGAGCAGTGTACCTCACTTTAAGCATCGCCACGATTCCCCTGCTACCCCTAATTTTAGTATTGCTCTCATGCAGGGGCTGGAAAAAGGCCTTGCGCGAATGCCCAACATCCTGCATGACCCCATAGGGATACAACATTGAAATTCAGGGGTTGTGAGGAAATGGATAACGCGACATGGAATATGTGCGATGTTGTAGGTCCTGCAGGATTTTGAGCATCAACAGTATGTTGCATGACTCATCATGCTACGTACTCTATTAGAGATGGAGTTGATGCATCCTAGTAGACAAGTATGGTTATTTGTAAGGGGATGGGTTCTGTGTTTGGATGGCTGGTTGTATAGTGAAAACTACAGGGATTGTCAAGAGGTCTCCAGGGATTATTTCGCAGATTCTGATGAGGACAAAGGACAAGAAGTGTCGATCTGGGTTTTGGAAGGTAGCATATACATACATACATGCATACATACATGTATGTATGTGACGCCTTGTAATACATGTCTTAGATGTACGATACATATTGCATGCGGAAGGGGGTCAACTGCGTCTTTGCCGTGTTAACCGTGGTTTTTTCCTGGTTCGTGTTGCCAGTTTTTTGTTGTTCTGGTTGTTGTGTGCTGCCTGTGTCTTTATGGTCCCCAAGATAGAGCCCTGAAGTCGTCCCGAGCATGAGACCCCCAAAAACGAGGAAAGCAGAGCAAGCCCTAAAATCTTTCCGCAAGATAAAGCCTCAAGGTTGTCTCGAAGATGAAACTGTAACGGGAGCAAGGCGGAGCAAGACCGAAACTCTTCCCGAATATGAAACGCTGAAGCCAAGAAGGCAGAGCAAACCCTGAAGTCGTTTCCACGATGGAGAGTCAAAGTTGTCCCGAAGATGAAACCCTAAAGCCTGGAAGGCAGAGCAAAGCCAAATTGATCCCCACGATGAAGCCCTAAACGTCGTCCCGAAGATGAGACCCTAAAGAGTTGAAGGCAGAGCAGAACCTTAAATCGTCCCGAAAATGAAATTCTAAAGTCGGGAAGGCAGAGCAAACCCTAAATTGTTCCCCAAAACGAAGCTTTAAAGCTTCCCTGAAGTCCTCCCAAGACCCTAACGTCGTCCCGACAATGTTACCTTTAATCGAGGACAGCAGGCGGAGTAAAGCCGAAAGTCGCCCCAGCAGGCCCCAAATGCTCGTCCAAAAGACGAGGGGGCTCTCACGAGCGAAGAAAGACACTGTTAACACAAAAGGACGGAGGGAACGGGCCACCTTACAACCTAATCCCTATGTTACATACTGTATATTATATTTCGCTTGGCATGATTATGGGCTATGGGGTTCTTACGTTGGGTGTGCAAAAAGACTTGGCTAGCATCCGCTCGCACGCGCCACGCAGGCAAAAGCATTGCCGGGGTGCTCCTGCTGCCGTGCGGTGCGTAGTTTGTGCTCATGTGCTATTATTAACAGAGGATGGTGGTGGATGCGGACAGCAGTGTCTGGGGGCAAAACATGTTGGCCATGGTTTCGAACTGTGCCAGCATGTGGGGGAAGGCATTTTGGCAGGGATACCACAAAACCAAGACCTCAAAAGAAGTCAGTGGTTCGTATGTATGGCCAACCCGAAACCCTAAAAGGAGTGACTATTGGAAGAGGTGATTGGTGATTTGTTCCTATTAAGCCCAGACCTACTAGGAGACTGTTGTGCGTTACACCCAAAACCTAAAAGAAGGTGATGATTGCCCAAGACCCCAACTGCGACGCCCCAAAATCCCAAGCCTTGATAAGGTAGGTCGGTTGGCAGGCGCAATCCCCAAACCCGAAACCACAAATCACGCCGCTGATGATGGGTGGCAAACTCTAATTCATAGACGGTGTGACTGTGTCCCCACAAGCCATACCCTTGCAGGGGCTCAGGGGTGGCAAACCCAAAGCCCTCAAGGAGTCCCTGCAAGAGAACGGTGGGTGGCACAACCCTGCAAACCCAAACCCCAATAGCTATCCATGATTACTTGTACATCATAATATGTGCGGATGATGCGTTTATGTATGGATGTGTACATGCACGGATATGACTAAACAGATGGGTAGATAGCTGCATGGATAGATCTGTCGACACACTTGTGTTTATGTGAACAGTGTTTTTTATTTCCGTCTCTTGACGGAAGACTACAGCTGGACACAAAAGTTTCACTGGATCTCGCAAGCTGGGACTGTGCGCCCGGAAGGACGCGGAAGGGCTGCAGAAGGCATTGCTCCGCAGAAGGGCGCGGAAGCAACAAATACGTTTGAATACGTGAGCCACCGCGCCAGAAGACCACGTCAGTCGCACTCAGTCGCGAGACATACAATTACTAGCTATTCTCCCGTACTCTTCCAGGGTTCAGGTCTTCTTCCAGGAATCCCGAGGCACGCTCAGGAAGCAAGTGGAAGTCCCGTTCCCTGTCACGATAGCGTAATACGTCAAAAGTGGTTTATGCTCTTGCGGAAGGGTTCGCTTGCAAAACGGTCCGCGGAAGGGCACGCGGAAGGGACGGCGTTCATTGACTCAGAAACGTGCCAACGCTTCGAGGACCGGAAGGCTGCGGAAGCAGTCGCTGAAGGGGTTTTGCGTCCTTCGGAATGAAACAGAATAAATAACACAGATCATGTGCTTCTGCATGTATGTGTACAGTTGTGTCTGTGTTGTTGGGCATGTGTGCCTACGTTTTCGAAGGCGCAAGCTACGTGTCTTGGGAACCGTCAGCGCCAGCCGGAATTAAAGGCGTATCGCGCTAAAGCAAAATAGAAGCAACCAGGGAAAAAAGGAATAGTACGAAAAAGGAGGAACCCATCTCTACAGGAAGTAGGAAGTGAGACCTCTTGGTAAATAAAAACACGACGCAATGCAGGCTGACAGTCCTCGCGAAAGTGTAAAAGCCGTTATCTGTGAAAGCAGACCATCGAATGCTCAAGAGCAACTCAGTCATTTCGATTTTGTGTCTAGGCCAAAAACAACCGCGTGCATGTCGCTGGCATGCGATGCAACACTGCCAGGCAGGCCAGGATGTCACGATGGGCAAGCCTGCAAAAGGCGCGATCTTTCTACCACTATTGAAGCTCGCAGGCAAGATTGCACTGCATGTTGCCAACACATGCCAGGAGGCAAAAAGAAGAAATCCCACAAAGAGGCGCCTGCCCAACACTGTCTAGGTTGAGATGGGGCTCGCCCGCTTGCAGCTGCTATTCTTACCATCTAATAGTGTGGTTGTTCATGCTGTTGCGGTTCATGATCCCGTCTTGTTCATCTACGTTGAACATCACTTATGATCCAGAACTTTGAATGTGAAACTTCGCCAGAAGCTGCTGGAACCTCGCAAATCTTTCTTCCGCGATTTCTTCCGGAGTCTGCAGGACTGAAGCAAGCATGTGGCAAGCCCTCGTGTTTTGTTGAACGAGCCAGCTCCATTTCGAGCTTTGCATTGCAGGAGGAAGACGAGCTGCCTGAGGACGAAGGGCATTGCATGATCCTGCGAAAAATGCTGTGATGCTCCAGTCTGCAACAAACTGTCGAAGCCGCCGGAGGACGTTGACACCCAGCAGCTTTGCATGCAGATGGGCGACGATGAGATGGAGCAGGCACGGAGTTGCCTGAAGACGGCTCAATTCACAACAGGACTAAGTTTTGCTGCGTGATGCTGTTGTCCCTGCAGGAGGAGATGGTAGAGGCTCTACTCGAAAATGCCTATGACTGTGGCATGGCGCTTCGTTTCTCGGCAAGTGATGCGCATCTTCGAGTTGCCGTTTTTGGTCGTTCTGCCCAGCAAAGGTACTCAGATCATTCCTTTTGCCGTTCGCTGGTATACCGGCGAAGCCGCACCAGATGATGAGTACGATGATGAGGATGGGTTTCAGCAAGCATTTCTAGCAGGGAAGGATGCAGACGTTGTTACCACGCCCTCACCAGGAAGAGGAGGAAGAGGAGGAAGACGAGGACGTGGAGCTAGAGGAGGAGGACATGAAGTGTGGACTATGAATAAACCTCCTTTCAACACCTGCGGGCTTTTTTGTGGAGTATGCCGCAGGAAGCAGGCAAAAAAGGACCGAAGAAGAAGGCAAAGTGGCACGAGATTCTTGCTGAACATCACGCGGTTGTCCAGAAAGAAGCCTAGTGATTTCAGGCAGAGGAGTGCAAGCAGCAGTGAGCTGCGATGCGATCAGTGCTCTGGAGCTAGCTGATTCAGAGCTCAGCCTTTGCCAGAAGTATTCACCTACGATCGGCAGCGTTCGGAGCAGTTCTGAAGCATTATGAAGCCATCCGACAAATCACACCCCCCCAATCGTCAGCGTGTCTTAACTGCTTGTTAGCAGCGCTGCAGAGATCGACGCTATATTGCATCCCAAGATTGGCTTTATGTGCCGAAACGTCTTGTGATCGGCTAGCAGCTATCGGAGTTTCACCAGGCTCATATTCCTGAAGTGGCACATTAAACTGCTATCTCAGAAACAACAACGTGCTGTAAGGCACGCCGTAGCAAGCGCCATTGCCCAAACTCCCTTCATGCTGTTCGGTATTGGCTCGAGGCATTTGCCTGACATGCTTGGCATGTGAAAGATTCGCAAGATCATGGGGAGAATTGGCAGGCTTCCGCGCTTGGCCTTCACTTGCAGCCTTGCGATTATACTTGCCTGCGTCTCAAAGAATGCCTTTTCGGTCCTTGCTCCGAGAACTACACCTTGTGCTTGGGAACGGGATAGCTCCGATCGAAAGCAAGCGAGCAAAAGCACTTTGGCAAGTGGCGTCGGCGTCGCAGTCTTCGGCCTCAGCGCAGTCGCCAGTGGCGTCTTCATCCCAAAGAGCCGAGCCTTCTTGCGCGCTTCAGACAGCGTTGAGCTCTTCTCCCCTGCGAAGGTGAACCTGTTTTTGCGAATCATCAGGCGACGACCAGACGGGTATCATGATCTGGCATCACTTTTCCACACGGTGGCATTTGGGGACAAGCTGGTGCTGGAGGTGGCATTTTGTGTCGTGCAGACTTCCGGAGTCCATGTTCAACAAAGAAGAAAGTCCCCCATTCCTGTTTCGGTTTCGTGGATTGGATCCTCTGAGAAGTGTGTCATTGGCATCTTTGGGATGTGTGCAGGCGCTGCCAGACAGTGCAGAGCAGGATCGGCTGGAGTGCAACCTGCCGGGAGTGTCCAGCGTCAGCAAGGAGTGTGCTCACTCGAGCTTTTCAGATTCGTTTTCCACTTGACATGAATTATCCAAGGCGCCGTGCTTTTGACTAAATGTAAGGCCAGTAGATGATTCCAACCTGGTCATCCGCGCCCTCAAGTCCGAGTCCCGACGACGTAGTGCATGACACATCGTCGTGTGGGCTTTTACTGTTGAGGCTATTCCGAGAGAAGAGTGGCATTCGTCGATTCTTCGGTGTCACGCTCGAGAAGGAGATACCAGCACAGGCAGGAATGACTGCAAGAATCGCACTCACAGAATTTTTTCAGCTGAGGCTGGCATGGGAGGTGGAAGCAGCAATGCGGCCACGGCATTTTTCGGAACTGTGCTCAGACTCACTGAGCTGTTGTCTTTGAGGTGTGAGCATGTTGAATCATCACCATGGAGGTGCCAACCAGTTGTGCGGCTACCCGGCCACTCCAGAGGAGTCAGTCCGACCAACCCTTGATGCAGTCAAAGCTGGATGGGGAGCCTTTCAGGATCTGATCAGCTGGGGCGACGACCCGGTGATTGGATCTGCGCAGTTCTCAGGTTGCAAAGCTGATTCCTAACATACAGTTCTCTGCGCTTGCCGTTTCCAGTTCTTCGTCGAAGGGTAGCACTCAGGATGCCACCTTCTTCCTTTCAGAAGGTATCGTGGCATGCCTTTGGACAGTCCGACCTTTTACGTGCTGTATGCAGTGTTGAAGTGCTGCAAGCTTCCTTGTCAGAGAGGCTTCTCCTTGCATCTGATCATTGTGGGCTGTAAGGCACTGCATACTGCACTGGAAGAGGTGAGATTGTGACGCCGCTCTGTTCAACGACCTTGACTTTCGGAGTTTGGCGCTTTCCTTCTGGCCCCAAGGCCGATCGACGGTCTTCCCATCAAGGATGGCCTTAGCGTCTACTTGGCAGATGCCTCTGCTGGCGATTGCAGGCTCCGAGAATGGCATGCCACGCTCAGGTCAAGCCGAATTACGGCCTGTCCACTGGCAAGGTGTTTCAGGCATGACACTGTGCAGCTGTACCGACAGAAGGCGGTTTCGCTTCAGGTCATGGACCTTTCAGCGTTGAGTACAACAGACCCTGAGGACTCGAGTGGCGCCGGATTCTGCTTGAACCGATGTTGAACTTTTTCACCACGACTCCGTCAAATTTCAGACGACAAGGAGCTTCTGCAGACCTTCAAAGATAAGGCTTTGCACAGCTGCATTGTAGTTGCTGAGATTTGAGCGACGGGCAATTTTGATTTGTCGAGTTGTCTTGTCTGCGAGGGCACTTCGCACAGCTCCTGGGTGAACGATTTGGAGAAGCCAGCCTTCAAGGTCGGGCGCAGCAGGTAGTGTCATGGGCATGTAAAGTTTAAGAACTTCCTCAGCTCAGCAGCTCTGGACTGGAACCTCCAATTGCCGTAGAGTGCCTGTGAACATATCTGCGAAGAAAAGCCCGTCATTGTTTACTGACCCAAATGCAGGAGCCGAATAGATATCCACTTACTTAGATCCAAGAGGTGAGTCCAGCCGTAGCGCTGCTTCTCTGTGTCTATCAGCTCCAGTACAGATGTTGACATTGCTTACAGCATTCGAGCTTTGTTTGCATCACAACGACTTCACCACGAGAGATCTTATGCAGAGGCTTTCGTTGTGAAGCTGGCACTTGGCGTCCGGTTTCACACGGATGTTGTGTCGCATCGTGAAGTAGATCGCACGGGCAGTCTGTTGCCTAGACGTCGAGTCACATTCAACTTCGAGCTCGCTCCACTCAGCATTTGGGCAACCTGGAGGTCTCCCCAGAACTTCGTGACCTTAAAAAGTACTTGGCCGAAGAGTGGGACTTCGAGGACGGCGCTGCACGTCGTGGCTGTCGGTCTCATGTCATGTCTCCCCGAAGTGTGCAGGCGGTTCTGATGTCTGGATCTGGGAGCACCATCTTCTGCCTGGGCGACCCGAAGGGAGGTGCCAAAGCCTTCGAGGTCGGTGCAGCAGCGCAGCAGTCGTTGAGTCCCTCAGCGGGTACTACAGGCAGCAACAAAGAATCAGTTCGACATTGAAGGCATCTGGCAGACAGAGTTTATGCGTCGCCCGGCATGAAGCGGCCACGAATGTTCTGGGATGTTTGGAGCGACTGCCAGCACATGCCTGCGCTTGATGAGGTCGCCCCAGCCCAACGGACTGGTACACGAAGGCGACAAACCGGCGCTGTCAGTGCTACTGCCAATGTTCTTTCAGCGATTCTCTCTGCCAGGTGTAGAATGGGCTGATGCTGGGACATCAGCAGCGATCGTTCTACAGCTCTCTTGATTTTCAAATCACGAACCCGAAATAAGGGCAGCCTACCGCATATTACGCATTGGCCGCACGTCACTGCGCAGTCGAGGGAAGCACAGTGCTGCTGAAAACCTTTGCTGCCAGCTGTGTGCCATATGATGGTCAGTCGGGGTTTCAGTCACGGTAACTTCGCTGCAGCATAGAGCACACGAGTCATTCGAGATCAAATAATTTTTCGCGATTCGTGAGCCATCGCAATTCACGTGGAGCAGCAAACAAGCCTCTACAGACAGAAAGCAGTCTGTATCGCTAGTCCACCAAAGCGTTCATGATCGTCGATCTACGAGAATGTGGCGGACTCCGCTGCAGCCCATCAAAGCAGCCGGGCAGGATGCTAGTCCAAAAACTGTGTCGTTTTTTCCATCCGCTTCTGTGCAAGGCATGGGCATTGCAGACTCATCGCTCCCATCGATTTCGACTTGAAAATCAGGCCATTCAGCATATTGCCTGGAACCTGTTGCGATGCATCTCTTGCGTGAAAGCAGGTTATCCGTCAGTCTCAGCGAGGCTTTTTTGCATCTAAGTGGCAGAAGAGGCCTCTTGCTGTTGACCATGTCATCTGGAGAGTTCCTGCCTATGCAGACATGGACTGGGCCTGGGCTCGGCCATTGCAGGTTGGGCCATTTGCTGGAAGGACGTCGGAGACCTCCAGCACCAGATGTCCCGGACAAGGCCGCTGAGCTTGGACATTGATGGTGTTCTCAGCTCTTCTGTTGGCTGCAGTTCGTAGAAGATCACAATAAGACGTTGAGATTGGATGAGGAGCAGCTGACGAACGACTTTGGCATCAAGCCATGCAAACCGGTCTTGGGCTCCAAGCGCACCGGAGTGCGCAAACCTGAGAAACATGTGCTATCATGTGCTCCTGCATGCTGCCTATCTCATTCAAAAGGCAACTTGGAAGCATCTCCCATTCATGCCAGGCTGGCATACAAAATCGGATGCATGTCTTTGTGGGACGAGTCCTGACTGAGTTGGCATGCTTCACCTGCCCCACACCACGAGTTTTGACAAAGTAGGTAGCTTCGGTCTGCCCTGACCACACTGCCCGGTTCAGTTCGTCACGTCAACGCTCAAGCCACCGGATCGTCGAAGCTTCGTGGGATGTGAAGAGGTGTTCAGAGGATTCAGCCTACGGCGTACGGACGTAACAGTGGAGGAAGCTGTCGCAAGATCTGCCTCTGAGGAGTGGGGCGTGAAGCATATGGTGACCGTCTGCCAGTTGGACCGGCTACATGTTGTGCCAAGTGCTGAGTTCATGGTTTTGTCAGATGCCATACGACAGCTGATATGAAAGAGACGCTTTGCAGGCAAAGCATGACTTTGCAGAAGAATGGCTATGAGGAGGGGTATGCGGAAATGCTCGTTCACTGACCGCCCTCTGTGTGATTTCTGGTGCCAGGCCTTGCAGCTTGGGCTCGGCTACCGATCGATCCACCGCCTTAGCCGGCCGGCCATGTGCCCAGTTCCTCAGCACTGATATGATGGCTCTGACTTTGAGCTTCAGGAAATCGGCACGTACATGAAGGCAGGTGTTGGGCCGAAGCACCACAAATGTGAGTCTGGCTCCCAGAAGCTTGAAAAGTGAGCTCTCGCAGCGTCGCTTGCTGTCAGGTTTCGCGTTTCGTCAGACTGTCTTCTACCACCAGGATCTGCTCTTCCATGAGTGAATTTCGGTGCATCTCCCCTGCGCCTTGATTCCAGTGTCAGTGCCCGAAGATCGCTTGAAAGCTCTGGCTTTGCCTGGTCTAGTTCGTTTACTTCTTTGAGCAACGCTCTCGGATCGATCTCTGCACGTTCAAAGAGCAACCAAGACCAAGATCTAGGTATGCACAGGATTGCTCCACGTTGGTGTGTAAACTGTTGGTAGTACTCCAAACAAACGGCGCGTTTGCGGTCGGATGCTTGGGTGAAATCAAACGACACAGAGTGCTGTGGAATCTCCAGGCTTTGGAGCTGGAGCTCACAGGGCCTGGCGACCAAGGGCTTCGTTCTTGCAAAACAAAAGCTTCGCCACCGTGAAGTTATTTGTAACAATCCAAGACTGTCCGAGACTTCTTGAACAGCCGCATCGAGTGCATTCGGGAGAAGATGTAGCACTTGCCGCCAGTCCTTTCCAAGCCTGTCGATATCACTTTTCTTGTGACAGGACTTGAGTTGAGTGTGAGACACTTTGTCCCCGGACAGTGGGCCACAGCCCCAGATAGAGGTTCAAGCACTTTCTCGCAGAGCTCGTGGCTTGACTGAGTCCAGGTTTTTGTATCTGGCTGGAGCAAGGGTCGAGGCTATCACGGAGTGATGAAGCGCATGTCCCCAAGTCTCCGAATGCTCAAGATATCTTCACCTTCGACGTCATTCATGCCAACTTACGATCCTGAGGTTGGGGATTTTCAGGTGGCGGTTCAGACAAGCACGGACACAAAAAGTCCCACCGCTCTGCCGGCTCTCTTGGCCGATAGCCCAGCCTACGAATGAGAGGCTGTTGGAAGATTCTCAACCAACTTCTGCAGAAGCGCATTGCGCATAGCCGGCATTGCCCGCTTCCCAGGCCAACGCGGTATTGGAAAAGTTTGGGTTGGCAAGAAAATGGCAGGACACAAAGGCCAGAAGTTTCGGTTGTTCAGCAGGTGTCGTGCACTATTGGCCACTTCGCGTCCAACTGCAGGTCCGGATCCTCGCTGCGTCAATGCTAAAGCTGCGGCCTCTGGCCTGTTTGCGCTTCAGCCGGCCGGTTCATGCCTCTATGCACCGTTTTCATCGCCGAGGTATTTCGAATAGAGAGCACTCGCAACCTGATTTTCCTGAAGGGGGCTTTGCCTGGCTACAAGGTGCTGCAAGATGTGCCGCTAAGAGTTTCAACCCATGCAGTCATATGTGCGGATGTCCAGGGCAGTGTGGTCAAGATCAGTGATGCTCGTGGCAAGACGGCGATGAAAAACAATCACATCAGATTGCCACTTTTCTTCAACAGTCGAGCCACGAAGCAAGCAATCCGCACGGAATGTCGAGGCCATACCCCACGTTTGTCCCCGTGCCTGGTGTCGAGTACCCTGTCACGATACAGGACTCGGTGCCGGAGAGATGGGATTCGAATTCGAAGGGCGAGACGAGTCGAACGAGTCTGAGGTGTCTGCCTGCGCCCCAGGAGCCGCCCCCTCAACGGGATCCCTTCCTCTATCCCGAACAGCCTCTCTATCAGCTTCTCGACTGCACTGAAGTGTGCACGTGTAAGGGCTGCGTGATAGAGCCATTGGCATGCTGCACTGGCCTTTCACCGCCAGGCCGAATGATTAGTGGCTGAAGATGCTCGTTGCGTTCGCACCGCAAAATCGGCGATCCCTGTGAAGGATTCGATGGACCTTAAGTTTGGGGGCTCCATGTGGTCTCAGCTGCTCATTTCCCTTCTGGTGCATCATAAAAGCGAGTTTACGGCTTGAGTACTACTGCATTGATGACATGCGGTGCAAACGGTTCTGACCTTTTGGTATTTTGATCGTTTTGTGGCATATGCGGGTTCAAACAGTGCATACAGTCGTTGATGGTATATGGGCACATTTGATGCAACAATGGACCAATCGATCCACCCTTTAAATCTTTTCGCCGCAATGGTGCAGATGCCTGATGTCCTCATGTGCGGACGACGGCTTTGGCATGTATTGATTCTGGTTCCTTGCCCCGAATGTCGTCGATTCAGGTCAACATCCGTCGTCGACGCGCCTTTGGCACGACGCGTAGGCGCAGGCAAATGTATTTAAGGTTAGGCTCGCTGTACGATGATCACTTGTTCTGAGTGTCAGGCAGAGTGCGCTCCGGCTTTGAGGAAGTATCACCTTTGAAAGAACACCTGGACATTCCTTCTCGCTTGCAGCGATCGTCCCGCAGAAACGCACACACACACACACGGACAAGCATTCCAAGAGCCTTGGCAGCAGGACGGTCTTCGTGGTTCCATCGAGTCCATGAACGCCGTCTCGCTTCCAAGACCGTGGATATACTGTGAGAATCGACGGCCTGACATTTTTGATTTTCGTGGCATTCGAGGCATGGGGCAAAAGCCGAGAAGTTATGGCTGATTTCCCAGAGATCAGCATGGTCATGTGTGTTCAAGATGTAAACTAGCCGCGAAGCGTATTGCGAGGAGCGTACTTACGGAAGAGCTCACGTGCCGTCCCGGCGTGTGTTGACGGCCTGCCGATTTTGCATAGTCGCCAAATTGGTGCATAATTTGTCATGTGTGCGAGCGCATCGCCTGCGACGAAGGGCTATGAAACACCAGGTTGAAGCAGCAGTTGGATTCAACTTGGCAAAATGGACAGGCCGCGTCGCATGCTCAGTCGCGCGCACCATGGACCTACCATGACCTACCCGCATTGACAGTTCCATCTGGCAAGCAAGGCTTGATGCAGCTTGCCACAGACTCCGGGACAGTTTAGACAAGGCTGGCGAGGACGATTCCTGCAGCATGTCGCTTCCCGACGTTGTTGCTGTTTCATGCGCAAGCCTTCCAACCGACTGGCAGGACCGGATTCTTTGCCGGGGCCACAGCTGCTTGCTTGTCATGGCCGTCTCCATAGCATTGCAGCACATCCAAACCAAGATGCACTGTTTCAGGTGAGGAGGCACAGTCTAGTGTGACAGAGGGGCTGCCAGCGCTCTTTCTGAAACGATTCAAGGAGACGGGGATGACACGCTGAAGTTATTGCTGTCGTCATTGTAATTTGTTGTTGTGTCCTTGCGCTGTCTTCGTTGGAGGACCCAGTGCGCTTTGCCAACTTTCAGGGAGGTCCCACGTGATGTATGGGGCCTGCACGGGCCTTGCTGTGCTGCCACAGGAACTATCCACGGATGCCAGCCTTCGAAGTTTGGTTCTGCACCAGGAGACGAGTTAGGAGCTCAGTGTGAAAATTTCCGGATCACCCTAGAAGCGGGGCTTTCGTTTCGCACGTTCCAAACACGGGACCTGCCATCAAGCGAAGGGAGATACTTTCTGCCAGGGTTGCGGGTACAAATCTCCGAGGTGCAACTGTCCAGATGGCCATGAAGAGCTTGGGTGCCAGGATTCGACCGACACCTCGAGCTTCTTGCACAGCTTCACATCAAGTGTTAGCCTTTAAGCATCCTTTGCAAGAATTGGACATTGCAGTTGTGTAAGGCTTCCAGCTGAAGTGCAGCAATCTTCTGAACACGCAAATCCCATCTTCTGGCGCTGTTGACTTCTTCAAGCCGCCCAGCTTTTTCAAGCAGAAGAGATTACTCGGATGATAGTTCTGAGCTAGGTCAGGTGGAGCCTGCAACATCACGTCAAATGATGATATCGTGAAGTTGGGTCCTGAACGTCCCCTGTTGACATGGAGTGGTGCCGTTCTCCTTTCTGAGAATAGTGACCGAGGCAGGTCGTCGATGACGAAATGCTGAAGCATCTGGAGGTCCGCAGCATGGAAGGGTGGTGGCAAGCCCGGTAAATCTCGGCATGGGTAAGCTGCAGAACCGGAATGTCAGATAGAGATGATGAACCAATCAAGAAAAAACAGATCCATCAGACCCTTGCTCATCTTTCTGATGACCATGGTGAGTGCACCAGAGATCACCAGAGTGAAGTTTTGTGCACACAAGCAGTGCGTCAGGCTAAAGATATCAATGGAGTCTCAATAGAGACGACGAGTGTTCGAGAGACTTTAGCATGTCTTGCAGAAGAACGCTTGATTTTGTGACCAAAGCATGGTTTTTATTTGCTGTCCCCCAAACAATAAAGTGCTTGACGAGTGTGTGACCATCGCGCCTTTATGTGACATGAATTTCGTCTCCAGAAGAGTGTCTGTATTACTGCAGACCGCCGTGATTCTTCCATAACCGGGCTTTCTTGATGATTCACTGCATTCCCCTTATCGAAAAACAAGTGCGATTTGTGCCTCGTACAAGTTCTGGGGTTTCTGAGGATACGGGAAGGGAGCGGCATGGGAGCCTGCTGGTGATATCAAGCTTTCAGAACCATGACAACTGGGGAAGAGGCGGTTGTGCATCTTGAACGCAACGCCGTTGACCTCTACAACCTTTACAGCGCAACTGTCTGTACAATGCAGCGACCTGGGCAATCCTGGGCATGTGCTTTCGCATTCACTCGCTGGTAGAAACCTTTCGCTGCAGCAAGTCGATTTGAGTATCACAGATGAGGAAGCTTGATGACACGGTCACACCTGATTCCTTCAGTGTATTTGCAGACATCGGCGATACCTGCTGACTTCTTCGTTGCATGCTCGGCGGCCTGCACCTACACCTCTGAACAACGCTTTCGGAGAGGTGCGGTGCCCAGTCGGATGGAGTGGTTTCGTAACAAAGTCACATTTACACCGGCCATGCAGGTCCTTTGCGGCGACCGTGCCGTAAGCAGGTTGCGTGCAACTTCATTTGGGTGTGTGCCTGAAGAAGCTAGATTTTGGGCGTTTTTCAGCACCTTCAAGACAGCTGCTGGCCTCACAGACCAAGGTGAGCGGTAGGCACCAGACAGACCACCTGCTTGCATGCTTTTGAGCAAAACAGGAAGCACGGCATTGGGTGCTCTGAGAAATCTGTAGTTAGCAGTGTGCCACAGACGTGCCAGAGCGTGCCGATTGTTGCGGTTTGCGGCTCAAGGGATCCCAGTCAAGACTCTGGGGCCGCAGGCCTTGAACACTGCACCGTAGATTGGCTTCAGCTGAGTCGGCTGGAGGCTGGACTAATTTTTGGCACTATGCCATCGAGGACAGGCTGCACCAGGATTTTTTTCAATTCTGAGTCAAGCGATGCAGCCTGTAGGAATGTTTCTGTCTCCGGCTTTGCCCTTACAGTCTGTCTTTCCGTTCTGGGCAGACAGCGACCGTATTCTTTCCCAGGCCCTTGCATCGATGACGGAGGATGTGGAGACTGCCTCAGGGGATCTTGCAGTCGGTAGTGAGTATGCTACGCCGCGGTGCGAGATGCTGTCGGCTCTGGTGGTCAGGAGATGCTTGTATGGAGGACGCGGGGGAGAGTCAAAAGCACTGGCCCGACTCCCAGCCGTGCGTCCGTCGAAACACTTTGGTGATGGACGGCTGTAGTTTACCTTGCTCAGGACGTATGTTGGGCAGGGCAATGGAAACTATGAGAAGGTGCAGGGTAGGACTAGCAAGACCCGACATGCGATACACCCAACCGGCTGGTTCCAGGTTGAGAAGTACATGCAGGTCTCTGGTGGTGCCTATTCCATAACGGAGGCGAGTGTTGTCATTCGTCTCAATTCCTTGTCGAAGGGTCTTTCTATCTCCTTAAACAGGTTCCCACGCGGAGGATAAGTCCAATGTGCTGCTGCTGGTGTGCTGTGGCTACACATGCAAGCTTGTTTGAATGCGATCTGCTTTGAACAGCAAGGGAATTGTCGCTACCGGCCCGATTATGTTGACATTGGCTTCGTTCTGGAGGGTTTGATTACCGCTCAGGTTTATGCGTTCTGGGCATGACGTTGGCACTTCTGCTTGCAGCAGCCTCAGTTTTTAAGACATGCTGGAAGGGAGGATTTCTTCCGAACCTATGTTGTTGGGTGGGGCTGGAGCTGCTCGGCACGAGTGCATTTCGTGCTGATCTGGAGGCAAAACATGTAGCAAGGTGCATGAGAAGAGTTCACTCCATGCTTCCTATTCACAGCGGCATCCGGCGGCAAGGCTTTGTGAGACTGTAGCACTGTTTCTCGCTCAGCATGAACATCGACTCCGAACGCAGTTGGGGTGGAGGTCGGCGTCGGTTGGCAGTTAAAGGCCTGTAAGACTCTGCTTGCACAAAGAAGCAAGGCTATCAGTCGAACGACTTGCTAGTCGGCTGTCCCTGCGAATCCTATACTGTATCTCTATGCATGTACTGTGATTATGCGCACTTGCGCAATCGTCGTGACATCAAGTTGAACGTGCTTTGGAAAGATAACGCAAGGATTGTTATACCTGCATTGCTCAGGTCTTCCTGCTGCGAGGCTGCCTGCTTCATGACCCGCTGTAGCCGGATTGCTGTGATAATTTTGGAAAGCTTCCGCAAGGTCCTCTCTCCGCTGCAATTGGAAGTGTTGGAAGTGACATGATGACTGCTGCTAAGCCGCAAGCTGTCAGGTGAGCAGTGGAAGCATTATGAATGCGAAGATGTAGCTGCAGCATTGATGCAGCATTCCACTGGTTGTGGCATCAAGGCTTCAGACGATTTCCGGTACTCGGCTCCAATGTACGATTGCAGCCAGTATCCCTGACAGAGCATCAAGCAGCAGCCAGTCTGTCTCCGCACGGGCTTGTGTTAGGTGTCGGCACCTGGCTGACCAATTTCAGGCAAGGAGTTTCGATTTTTGTCGGCCTTCACATCAAGCCTGCCTTGCCCCGAGGAGTGATGTGGAAGCCGGGACACGGGTCCCTCACACATCTTGCATCTGTTGAGAAAGCACAACATGGAAGCGAGCTAAGGCGTACCGCGGTCAAGTCTTCAAAGATTCCGACACGAACTTCGATGGTCTTCTGAGCCCAGGGGAGTCCGGACCTCATGACACGAATTGAAGATGTGTCGGATCGTTCAGCAGAGCATGTTGCAACGTGTAGCTTTCGCTCACATGTCCTCTTCTGGGCTTGTCACGTAACGCCGGGGCAAAGGATCCCATTTTAGGGTTTCTGTCTGCACCGAGCAGGATGTGTTGAGGATTGTAGTGTGGCCCGGAGCCACTGTCCACAGAATCAGGGGCACAGGCAAGCGACAGGCCAAGGCATGCAAGCAGGACGGTGGAGTCGCTTCAGCAAAGAAGCCGGCTCATCCTGTCAAGAATCATGGCAGGTTTGCTGGGGCATCGCGAGACACACACACACACACAGGTAGAAGAAGATCTTGCATGCTGTTTCAAGTCAACTCCACGAAACGGGCGAGACAGGATGAATGAACCTGTGCAAAGAATCAAGACGTAAGCATGTGCAGCGGTGTCCACGCACAGCAAGACGGCTTTGACCTATTTACGTCTGAAAGTCTTTACAGATGGTTCTTACGGTTTCGAGAAAGGAAATAGTACTAGCATGTGTCTATGTGTGTGTGTGTTGAAGCGGGGTAAGCCGGCTAAGCATGCTCCAAGTCCCAGAACATAAAAGTTCAACACTGTAGCGGCCATGTCTACCGGAACTTCTAAGCAATCCAGAAGCAAAGCCATGCAGGCAGAGACCATGCCTGTGTGACTTACTCAACCCATCCCTCCACTTTCATCTATGCGTGCGTTTTCTCTACCCATTTATGCTGAACACTTGTATGTGAGTGGATATGTTTATCTACGATCGTTCTTGCTAACTGTTCGTCTACAACATCATGTCTTCAAATGCTTTCTCCGAGGCAGAGAAACAGCGGTATTTGCGGCGGTTTCTTCAGCACAGCTTTACCGACCTCTACTTCTCGTGAATGTTTGTGGCACATGTAAGCCACCCAAGCCAGAATCTGGTTCTGTGTCCGCCCTAATTGGCAGAAACACGTGATCCCTTCTCAATTCAGAGCAAACTCTATTGTTTCTGCATAGTAGGTTTTCATTTCTTTCATTAGAAGTCCTCTGCGGTCACACAGAAACAGAAGAAGGATCCTAATTTCCTTATCAGTGGCGACAACTCGACGGGCCGTTGCAGTCTGCCAATATCACAAAATCGAATCTTGATGTTTCATAAAGGAGTACCATCTTCATAATCATAGTACATTTGGTCATTAGTTGAGTGTGTCGAGCTGCTTTTCCCCACAACACAAATGGAACTGTGGAACAGCTGCTCGTTTCTTGATATCATGTCGACTTTTCGTTTGCTAGCAGCAAGAACAAGCAAAGACCAAGTAAAGATCACCATTTCTTCTCCTCATAACAAATATCGGAGCACACCTCTGTACCTTGTATGCTTCGTGGGAATTAGGACAAAGATATATCTGGAATGCATTAGTTGTTCCTCGCTTAGCAAAAAGCAAAAGACCCTTGGTTCATGCAACCAAATAACTAGACTCTTCTGCATCCTACTACCAGCAAGAAATTAAGAGAGCGGCATCCTTCAGCAAGACATGAAATGGCTCCTGTCTATTCGCTTTCGCCTTATAACCAAACAGGGAACGCCTCTACAGCTCTTAAGGCTCTGAAAAGCTGCAAGAATATTCCGTTGCATCTTGAGCGCAGCTTACATCGATGAAGAGACCTTAGCGTCTGAATAATTTTGATGAATTACATATTTAGTACACCTCAAGTTAGCCCACCGCTGTGTACCTTTTGATATGTAGTAAGGCAGCCACCCTTCTCATATTTATATAGCAAAATGAAGTTTTCCGTCTCTCAACAGGAATAAGCAAGCTCCTACTCCACAATGCAATGGCATCATTTTGTGAGTATTAAACATGAGATCTCGCAAGAATTGTCTTAGTGCAGAACTAAGGCCGCGACAAGCTCTTTCATTCAACCACATCAAATAACAGCCACTACTAAAAGCAATAATAGCCGTACAGGTACTGCTGCCATTACTTTTTCTACTGTTTATTGTCGTCTTTTGTTCATCTAGTTCCAGATTGTTAAATTCCGCCAGGCTTGAATCTCGCCAGAGTTTGTGAAGCCTGAGGTGCGAAAACATTGACGGGGATCGAAATTAGAGAATCCTGGCATCTGTGGGGAGTGGGGGGCCATAGTTACTCAGATTTTGGGAATTGTGGGGAAACTCGATACCTGGCGATGTTTTCTCATAATTGCCCATCTCCCATAATCCATTGCTGACAAGAAGCAAGCTCGGGTGGATCATGGGGGGTGGGGACGTGAGCATATCTATCTATCTGTCTATCTGTCTATCTGTGCATCCCTGAATCTGTATACATAATGTGACAGATGCATGCAAGCGGTGCACCGGCAAACGCGCTCGCTCGCATAGAGAGACAGAGACAGAGACAGAGACGGACCGCCGCCGTTGTCTGCAGGCTTTCTGCAGCGAGGCGGGAGATGCCTCATTTTCTGCAGCCGCGGGTTCTTCCACTGCCTCTGCCTGTCTTCCCTCGCAGTTCGAAGCTTCCCCAGTGCTTCGCGCAATATGGGCTCCAGTGGGACCAGGCCGGTTCGGTCACGAGACCGGGACTGAGACTGCTTCAGCTCTCTGAAGTGTCACATCTTGGAGGACGGCAATGGGCTCAGCCTGGGCGAGATGGAAGCAGGGCTGGCGCAACAGGCTCCATCTTCTAGCGAAGCTGAGAACTATGGTCCATGCAGCTCCGTCAGTACTTCAACCCTGCAAATGCCGAGCTGTGCAAAGTTTTATGGAGGCAGGGGTGAAGTCCCACGACATCCTTTTGGAGCCTGCAAAAACGACGGCCAAGCACTCAGAGAAGTCGGCCTTTCGATCGTTCCTTGTCTCTTTGCAAACTCTGGCATTCTCTAAACCGACGAAATGCATCAATGCATGCGCAAGCAGCGAGAAAGCCGCTTGAACGTGTCATCGGCTTCTCGCCAGAAGGCATTTCTGTCACCAATTCCCCGAATTGGAAAGAAGCAACCCAGGCTGTAGCGGACTTGGACTGTGATGGCTTCATCAGCCGGGCGCCAAATCTGCTCGGCTCCGGCAGCTTATGCAGACTTCGATTGCATTGGCTTGCTGGCAGGTGTTCCAGAATTTCGAGCCATGTATGCTCATCCTTTACCGCAACACACGCCTGGCTCCTGTATTTGGCACCTGTGCTTCTGACATCTCCAGTTGCGATACAACCTTCTAAGGAAGGATCTGCTGATTGGTGGCGATGCCTTGACCTCAGCTCCAGATCAGCGCGATTCAACAAATCAACTTCTTCTTCCACTTGCTCTGGAGTGCAGCACAGGTGGATGCGGATGGAAAGTTGGGCAGAGTGGTTGGATTTACCTGTTTGGTGTTTCCGGTCAGGCAATGATCAATAATTCGTCTCACTGCGATTCTGACGCCAGGAGATGATTGCAGCACTCCAGAAGGTTGGTGTCATATTTGCATATGCATCTTGTGATTGTGGGTCGTGTTCTGCAGTCGATGGTTGCCTCGAACCCAGCGCAGTCAAGCCGCCATGAACCCAGCTTCTGTTCTCTGACATGTCGGTTCCAAGCAAACGCATTTACTTTCTCAAGGACTGACTGCAGAGATTTGGAACGAGACAAAGCGAGCATGGTGCTAGCCTCAAGATGTTCACAAGAAACCACCGACCATCACTGCTAGCTTTGCGCAGCTGTTTGGGGATCTTCGGAGAGCCACCAGATCTAGAATGGCCACTAGAGGAAGACTGCAGCGACACGTCTTGGCAGGGCAGCTGCCATTTTTGGAATGACTCTTCTTTCTGCCGCGGTGTCCTGTGGTTTTCGCTCGGATTGCTTTTTTGACACTCGAGACGCCCTTGACGCATAATGCAACATGTTTCTGTATGAAGATAACCCGAGCTGGATTACTTGGTGAGTTAAACCATCTACTACATTCATCTAGGATTTTTCATATTATGTACGGCTGTCCTACTGACTAGTTCAGCGGACGTCTGTGATTGCAGCGGGCTTGAACACCAAGAGGTTGAGCGCATCGCGAATCTTTTTGCTCCATCTTGGGTTCGTCGCGTATTCAGAGGAGGAAATTCAGAGGTGAAGCCGAAGTAGGGAAGGTGAAGAGGGAAGCGCGACAGCGAGATTTCGTTCGAAGCAACAACAGTGTGAAAGCTTGGTGAGATGTCTCCGCACCCCTGGACATCCTTGCTCAACCCGGTCCCAAGTCCGGGCATTGGACGGTGACAGAGTACCAGCATCTGCATCCTTGGATCCAACGGGCGTGAGGGTTGAGTGCTACACCTCTGCAACCTCTGGAGTTGCTTCGGCCACGAACAAAAAGGATCCAGAGTCAGCCATGACTCAGGCTTTGATATCACATGCAGTTGAAAGATTGAAAAAGCGCTCCCTTAGACGTGCGCTAAGGAGAGCAACACGTGACGGAGAGGCCTTGTACAAAGGACAGAAAATCTTAGTGTGCCCTACAGTATCACTCGGTCACCTGGAATAGTGGAGGCCTGTCTCAAGAACTCCAACTAGAAGTACATGCTTGGCTCAGCCAAAACCCACATATAGGAATCTGCATCCTTGAAGAGACGCATTGGGGCTTCTCTGGAGACTTTTTAATTACAACTGGTGCATATGTCACAGCTCCACTGCGAAGGGGCACACTGGCGGTATCATCATCATGGTCAGAAAGGACCTCACTGACATGCAACAAGTTCAGTGGCGAGAGCTGGATCCTGGTAGGCTGATACATGGGCGTGTCCCATCGGCAAGCAGCATGTCGACATTCTCGCTGTATATGAGCACGCCATCAGCTACTCCACGGCCGAGAGGAGGTTCGAGCTGAAGAAGAAACGACGTGGCATCTGGAAGAAGCTAAACTCCAGCCTGAGCGCGCCATTTCGAAGTTTGGTTTTCATAGCGGTTGATTTTGATACATCTTTTTCACCGCTCCCCCCGATCACTGGTTTCGGCCTACTTCCAGGCCCTACCCAGGATGAACCTTTACAAGAGCGGTCACATGTCTTACAAAATCCCACAAAGTCTGAAACAGTTGGGGCAACAGTGCTGCCACATATGATCATCCCAATGGCTCGTCACAGATTGATTTCATTGCAGTTCGACACAAAGTGTCTGACAAGCAGGCGAAGGAGGTGATAGTAGTAGTAGTAGTAGTAGTAGTAGTACTAGTACTAGTATTAGTACTAGTAGTAGTAGTAGTAGTAGTAGTAGTAGTAGGAGTAGTAG